TCTTCATAGTGGCATAATGGGAGTGGATCATTTTATGTAAACTCTGATACTCAAGTATTTTACATTTGAATGATTGCATTGCAGATGATGATCCTGGAGCAGCAATACCATGATGATTTGAAGAAAGAACTTCAAGGTGTTACACATACTTCAGCAGGTTCTAAAGAAACATCTACTGGAGTGGTACCGACAGGAGAATCAACTACCAATGTTCAAGAAAATGAAGATGACATGGGTAAACTTATGATGTCACGTAAAAAGAGGAAGTTATTGGAAGCTATGCAGGTAAATTTTTTTATCCTCCTTATGCTGGGTTTGAGTTGATTCATTGCAGTGCTTTGCCTGCGTATAATTTTTTTTTTTGTTCCAATTATCTGCCAAATTGAAATTACAATATTACTATTACTATTCTCTAAGTAATTGTCCTAATATAACCAGTTGCAAAGTGTGATGGATTGTCGTTAAACTTAGTGTAAAATTCGTGGTGTATCTTTTCAATTCTGATTTTAATTTTTTTAAATCTGTGATTCAGATATCTAATAAACGCAAGCAAGCTCAGCATGATCTTATTAAACAACGGAAAAAGAAAATAGAGGAAGCTCAGAGTCAAAGGAGTTGAAGAGATGCTGCATTTTCAAGGATTCCAGCATTGGCTTCCTTATGTGTCATAGCTCATTTTTGTCGTTTGCGAGTAGAGGCAGTTGAACTTATTGCAGTCTTGTTCTCTGTTTTGTTACTGATATCTTTCAAGTCAAAAGAAGAAATTCAAGCAACGAAATTTTTATAGGTGGTATCTCTTGTTTGAGACTAAGGCTTAGTTTGGTCCAAATGAGGGAAGGAAAAAGGAGCTAGAATTCTGTTTGGTTAGGAAGAGTGATGAGTTGTTTTCTTATTTGATTGACCAGAAGATATCTTGACAATTAATTTATCTTTGTACTCAAAATTTTGAATTAAAAAATATAAACATATTTTAGATATATCCAAAATTAGTTTATTCTCTTTCCCATTCCTGCAAATTTTCTCAATATTTAAGGAGAATGACAATTAGATGAAAAGTTTCGTTTTCCTCTTGTTCTTTTTAAAAGTGAACTAAATATAAAAAATTTATAAAGTTATTTCTGATGTCATGTCTCTGTTGTTACAAATTTTTTAACCACACTCTTCAGGCTTGATCTTCCGATTGATTGTTTGCTTTGTAACCACACTCTGGCAAGGTTTTTCCACAATTTTTGATTTTTGAATTATCAATAGAGTACGACTCTGCAATCTTTTCCAGTGATTCCTCGTCGAGATTTGATTTTATACTGCTTTCCCTTCTCAACATTCCTTCTGAATTGGAATGCTTTGTAATCTGATTATCATCCTCAAGCTCACTTGTCTTTATAGATGTTTAGGGTTTGTGACTACTATGCCCACAAAGTTCAGTAAAGTTATTCTTGTAATTTTTAGTACACCCTGTCTTAAAAATTGGAACCTTGTTTTTCAATATACTTGATTTTGGTATCTAGTTCGGTTTAACCATTTTGTGGAATCAAAGACATAATATGTCTCAATAATTCAATTTTTATGATAACAAATTAATGACTTATGACTTTGATAGATCAGTATTTGTTCAAGTTATTTTGAAAATCACTAATGATGTATAGAATAAATGAAAAACAAAACTGTTTTTATGATCATTTTCTACACATGTTAAAATAGAAAAAGAGTAAAACTTAGACTTTTTTTATCATTAATTTTTTTAATGAATTAGTGTAACACTTAAGTCAATTAAGCTAGTTAACGTTAGTGTCCAACCTATAGCTTTTCAAATGTTCAAAAATAGTTTGTGATAAGCATTTCGATAATTTATTTGTTATAAATGTTATATATATATATATATATATATATATATATATATTATAGGTGTATGCACCTAGAATGGTACACTAATTTAGGACTAGCATAATGTTAAGTATATGATATTTAATAATATGATATTTAAAAATAAAAAATTAAGAAATATATAAATAAATTTCTATCACTCGTAAAAATATATACAAATAGAATCTTTTACATGTTATTTTTATTTTTATTTTTATCTTTATATATTATGTTAATAAATGTCATGTCACTTAAGTAACTGAATAATATTTAAGTTTAACGATAAAAAAAATATTAAATTAATGATAGAATCTAAATTTTGTATTTTAACAAATAGATAATAATTAATTTATTTTAAAATATAAGAATTAAAAACATAAATAAAAAAATAGAAAAAAATAAAAATATAATTTAGTCAATATTTTTTAAGGCAAATTTAGAAGCAACTAATTTAAATTTGTCATAATCAATTTCTGACATTTGTAAATGTTACAGCTCTTTTAGCTTTCAGGAAAAGTATTTTGTGGAGATTTTTTAGTTATCAAAAAGTGTATTAGCCGTGACAAACTGCAGCTTCTTTTTTTAACTTTTTTGTAGTGATATCTTTATTCAGAAATAATTATGGTTGAGTTGGATCACATAAACAACTAATAATTAGCTTGTTGTTGAACTACTTTATCACTATTCCTAAAAGTTTAGCATTAAAAAGAAGCTATAAAGAAAATAAAATAATACTGTTAAAATTTTCATCAATAGCCAATAAATTAAGAAAAATACAACTTCATAATCTAATAATTACTGAGAACGGTTTTCTAAAAAAAAAACTACTAAGAATAATATTACAAATGTCTTCGTCCTATTTTAATAAAAATAATTAACTAAAATTAAATTAAAAAAATATCTTTATATTTATTCCAACTTAATCAAGGAAAAATATGTAAAGCTACCGACCAACCATTAAAATAATTGTTGGCTGGCCATCAAAGAAAAAGATGTTCATAAAAAACACATGCATTAGATAAGTTGACGAAACACGCTTAACTTTTGTAAAAAAACATATCTTTTGAAAAGGGATAAAGAGTTTTAAGTGTGAACACTAAGATTCTTTTTAAGACGCAAGTTCTTCGTAGTTTCACTTTCACGCTTTCATGTAAATAATATCATAATATATTGGTAGTTTAACGCTTTCATTTTTTTTAATTATTATTATTATTATTATTATTATTTATTTACTTTTTGGTCATGTAGAAGCACATAAATGTGTATTTATGAGATTTATTTTTAGAATTAAAACAAATCATATATAGACAGCTTATTAGAAAAATAAATATTACCGTCTTATAAGTTATAACTTTTAATTTCAGCCTTTATGAATTACGATATTATAGAAAAAACTTAAAAAGATCAAATTAAAATAAAGTAAATGTCTAGATGGTTAAATTAACAGTTTATTAATATAAAAAGTTAGAGGGCTAGTGTATTATACCTTTATGTTGTATTTTATTTTTTTTATTAATTTATAGTTAAGGATAAAATAGTAAATATATATATATATATATATATATATTTTACTGGAGCCACAAAATATCCTTTTTGCTAGTAATATATATTTTTTTAGTGTATAAATTTTTATGAAAAACTTGTTCCACCACCTCACACATAAACCTTCTTCACTCACAATTATACTGGAATCCAAGATTCTCGTAAAATGTTAATTTTATCTTTCTTTTATTTTATAAAAACATTCAGAGGCACTACGTGCTCTAGCTTATACATATAAAGTAATTTTTTTCTAATTTATTTTTGTTACCAATATATATGTAATAACTATTTTTTTTACACATATATTTCAAATTAATTTTTAATATAAATATATGTTTTAAAATTATTAATTTTAATTTTATTTTATTTTGGCCTTATTTAAAATTTATATTTAACAAATATTAATTTATATATTCATAAACATTCATATATATATATATATATATATATATATATATAAATTTGATTGATACTAGATAAATGAATACTCATAATATATAAAATAATAAAAAGGATTACTATCTGTCTCACCATGTTTCATTGTCATTCTTATGATTGAATTTAGACAAATAATTTCTTTTTTTTTTCTCTCAATATTTTGAGAAATTTAAAAATGTTTAAAAATCTTTATTCCCAAATTGTGCTAAAGAGGAATAATTCAGTGGTCGTTAACATAATAAAAAAAAAAAATTGTAACCAATAATAAAATGACAATATTGTCTATTTTAGTAAAATATGTTTAATTTTTTATTCTAATATAATAATAACTATTATTCATGGCCGAAATTTAATAAATTTATTTAGTATCTATACCTGTATGAGGATACACTCGTAATCTTCTAGTAACTGGAGGGCTGAACGGGAGCTTCAGGTTGATGCTTCAGAGGGGGGAGGTACCTGCAAAAGACACTCCGATGCTCAAGTCAGGACAAACACAATTCTCAAGAGTAATAATTGAACAGTGACATACCTCGTTTCGTGTAACTTATTTATACTACTTGTCATGAGCTTGAGCATGGTGGGCCTTCTTTGACATTTACCACATTAGGTAATACGATGTTAATCGGCTGGTTATGCTTTAATTGCGTGTTGTCCTTTGTTAACCGTAATTATTGTCCTAACTATTCCCTGTTGATCCTTGGCCGAGCCGATAGGGAGCGGCCGAGACGACCTCTCAGCCTATGGCCGAGCCGATAGGAGAACGGGTGTTCTCCGCAGTCCTCGGCCCCTTACCGAGCCGAAGTAGTGTCCGAGCTGCGTCAATGTCTGATAGGACATGACGTGCAGGCCTACGTGACCGATCCACGTGGCCGATAGGATCCTTCCGGTACAGTATCATTTCTTAGTTTACAAATGTAATTTATAATTTTTAAAATATTTATCAGTTTTATTCATTTTATACTATGATAATATTATTTTACAGTTATTTATGATTTTGGCATGTTACAGTGTTATTTCTTTTTCTTTTCACATTTGTTTTTCCTTTTCCCATAATATTTATTAAAATATTGTAATATCGGTAACTTTATTGACTTATTGACTTAATCAATAACTCATTTCATGAGTATATTAACCCTGCAATGCATTGTTATAGTCATTCACATAACTTGTTCTTCAAATTAATTACTCATTTTCTTAATTCCTACCATACATGGCAGCAACATTGGTTGGTGGTGCTTTTCTTTCTGCTTTCCTTCAGGTTGCATTTGACAGACTTGCTTCTCGTCAAGTTTTGGATTTCTTTCGTAAAAAAAAACTTGATGAGAACCTTTTGAAGAAGTTGAAGAGAAAGCTGCGATCCATCGATGCTCTTGCTGATGATGCAGAACTACAACAGTTCAGAGATCAACGTGTGAGAGCATGGCTTCTTGATGTCAAAGATGCTGTGTTTGAAGCTGAGGATTTGCTGGATGAAATTTATGAATCTCAGGCTCAAAGCATTGATAGCCAGGTGTGGAATTTCAATTTCTCTATATCTTGTGTCAGTTTGCTCAACAATAAAAATGAAATTGAAACCAAGATGACACAAGTCCTTGATGACTTAGATGAACTTGCTAACCAAGGCACTCATCTAGGTTTGAAACCCAAACTAGGCTCTTTGGAGCCTAGTTGTGTGTCACAAAAACTGCCATCAACATCTTTCATCATTGAAAGTGTTATTTATGGTAGAGATGATGACAAAAAAATCATCTTTAGTTGGCTCACATCTGACACAGACAATCATAACAAGTTATCAATACTTTCTATTGTGGGCATGGGAGGGGTGGGTAAGACCACACTTGCCCAACATGCATACAATAACCCAATGCTAGATGGTAAATTTGATATCAAAGCTTGGGTCTGTGTCTCAGATGATTTTGATGTTTTTAAGGTAACAAGAACAATTCTAGAGGCAATCACTAAATCAACTGATGATAGTAGAGACCTACAAATGATTCATGAAAGATTGAAAGAAAAATTGTCTGGAAAGAAATTTCTCCTTGTTTTAGATGACGTTTGGAATGAAGAGAAAGAGAAATGGGAAGCTGTGCATACTCCTCTAATTGATTGTGGGGCTCAGGGAAGTAGGATCCTTGTTACAACACGTAGCAAGAAAGTTGCTTCTACCATAAGGTCAAAAGAACACAACTTGACACAATTACAAGAAGATTATTGTTGGAAGCTGTTCGAGAAACATGCATTCCAAAATGCTAATCCTCCCCCAAGTCCAGACTTCAAGGAGATTGGCATAAAGATAGTTCGAAAATGTAAAGGACTTCCTCTTGCCTTAAAAACAATGGGAAGTTTATTACACAACAAGCCTATTTTGGAATGGAAAAACGTAATGCAAAGCGAGATATGGGAATTGGAGGATATTGATATTGTGCCTGCTTTAGCACTGAGTTATCACCACCTTCCTTCCCATCTCAAAAGATGTTTTGCTTACTGTGCTTTATTTCCAAAAGATTATTTGTTTAACAAGGAGTTTTTAATTCAGGTTTGGATGACTCAAAAATTTCTAGAATGTTCTCAACAAAGTAAAAGTCCAGAAGAAATTGGTGAACAATATTTCAATGATCTATTATCTAGGTCATTCTTTCAACAATCAAGTGGAAACAAAAAGTGTTTTGTCATGCATGACCTTCTAAATGATTTGGCAACATATGTTTGCAAGGACATTTGTTTCAGGTTAGAAGTTGATCATGGAAAAAGTATACCAAAAACAACTCGTCATTTGTCATCTCCTGTCGTTAACGGTCAATGTTTTGATGGGTACGAAACTTTACATGATATTGAAAGGTTACGTACATTTATGCCAATAGCTAAGCTCAGAGGTATTCATTATAATCGTTGGCATTGCAAGATGTCGTTACATGAGCTGTTCTCCAAGTTGAAGTTCTTACGTTTCTTATCTTTGTCTCATTGTGTCCTATCAGAGTTGCCAGACTCTGTTAGCAATCTTATGCATCTCTGTTCCTTAGACCTTTCGTATACTGGCATAGTAAAGCTACCTGAATCAACGTGCTCACTCTCTAACTTGCAAATATTAAAGTTGAACAATTGTAAATATTTGAAGAAGCTTCCCTCAAGTTTTCATAAACTCATCAAGTTGCGTCGCCTTGAATTGATTTACACTAACTTGAGAGAAGTGCCAACACGTTTGGGACAATTGAAAAACCTTCAAATATTAATGAGTTCATTTTGTGTTGGAGAAAGTGAAGGGTTCACTATTCAACAATTAGGAGAATTCAATGTCCATGGAAGAGTGGAAATTAAGAATCTACAAAATATTCAGAACCCGTCAGAGGCATTGGCACTGGATTTGACAAATCAAATACAGCTTGTTGGAATAGATGTAGTATGGGACCAAACCTCGAGAAGCATTTATCCAAGGAAAGAGCATGAGATTATAATTGATAATCTAAAACCGCCAAAACACTTGGAGCAATTGTTAATTAAGGGGTATGGAGGTACACAATTTCCAAGTTTGTTATTCGATAATTCATTATCGAACGTAGTCTCCTTAAGTTTGCACGGTTGTAACTTCTGCCAACGTTTGCCTCCCCTTGGACGTTTGTCATTTCTCAAGTTCTTGAGAATTGCTGGGCTTGATAAGATAGTGAGTATTGATGTTGATTTTTATGGGAGTAGATCTTCTTCATTTCCATCTCTAGAATCATTGGTTATCTCCAATATGAAGAACTGGGAAAAATGGGAATGTGAAGATGTGACGGGTGCTTTTCCGCGCCTTCAAGACCTTTCTGTAAGTTATTGTCCCAAGCTGAAAAGGCATTTGCCAAAGCAACTCCTTTGTTTAAAGACACTAAGAATTTCTTCTTGTATGCTTTTTGAAGGAGTGCTTAACTATCAAGGGCAAGTGATACACATTAATACAGTGGGAAACAAACTGGAAGCGTGGTTGATCGACTGGATTGGGAACATCATATTTGATTTTTCAATTGAATGTTTGAATGCTTTTGGCCCACATGAGAATATTTCCATGAACCGTTGCTACAATTTCCTTAAAGAATTGCAAATGAGTGGTTGTTCATCCCTAATGACCTTTCCCCTCGATATCTTCCCAACATTAAGGTCACTTGAGCTCAGTCGTTGTCATAGTCTACGGATCATTTCACAGGAACAGACTCATGATCATCTTAAGAATTTGAAAATTTGGGAGTGCCCTGAATTTGAATCACTGCCTCAATGCATGCATATCTCCCTCCCCTCTCTTGAAGATCTCTTCATAGAAGATAGTCCAAAACTTGAGTTACCCGCTGACAAAGGTTTCCCACCAAATCTAAAAACCTTGAGTCTCCATAATTGCTCCAAACTTATGGCCTCAATAAAAGAGGCTTGTGCTTTGGTTGCCAATCCCTCTTTAAAATACTTGCATATATGGAAATTGGATCATGTTGAGTCTTTTCCCGATGAAGGTTTGTTGCCAGTCTCTCTTACTTCTCTATGGATTGGGAGTTGTCAAAATCTTAAAAATGTAGAGTACAAGGGTCTCTTCCACCTCTCATCTCTTGAGAAAATAGTTCTAAGAAACTGCAACAGCCTCCATTGCTTACCAGAGGATCTCTGCCAACTCTCTTCTCTCAAGAAATTGATTGTTCAAGATTGTTCCAACTTGCAATGCTTACCAAAGGGTCTCTGCCAACTTTCCTCTCTCCAGAAACTGGTTCTTCGACACTGCCCCAACATCCAATGCTTACCAGACAATGGTCTACCCGAATCCATTTCACATCTCAGAATTTCAGGCAGTACATTGCTCAAACAGTGTTGCCGCTCACCAGAAGGCCAAGACCATGCAAAGATTGCTCACATTCAACATGTTGTTTACGACAGTGATTCTTTATCTGAAGATGATTTGTATTGGTGAGTTATTATCATGTTTAAGTTTCTAGAGTTTCTTGTGCTATATATGTGGTGGATCGATAATTAATTTTGTTTTTCTTCGTATTGTTTATACTTTCGATAGTCGACTTCTATGGACATAATTCTTCTTTTCATAATACAAGACTTTATATACACAATATTCTGATTTTTGGAATAAAATCAGCTACATAATTTACACAACCTAAAAAGCGTTGTAACTGAGTTTTATATTTAATTTTATCAGGAAATTTTTCAGAAAATTCGATACTTCTCTTAATAGGGGTAATTGTTCCTTGGTATATATCATGACCCAAAAATCTAATTTTTATCTGGGCTAACTTAATCTTCTTTTGTGATACTACCATCCCATTTTTCTTAATTAAATTTTTGAATATTCTTAAGTGTTTTAAATGCTGTTCAATTGATTCAGAGAATATAAGCACATCATCTATATAGACTAGTGCAAATTTTGAATAAGGATTCAAAATAGTGTTCATTATATTTTGAAATTCTGATGGGGCATTTTTAAGTCCCATTGGCATTACATTCCATTCGTACTGACCAAATGGAACTATAAATGCAGTTTTATATTTATCAGCTTCTTTTACTTTAATCTGATAATATCCACTTTTCATATCAAATTTTGAAAATATTGTTGCATTGTATATTCTACTTATTAGTTCTGATTTATTAGGTAAAGGATACCTAATCCATTTTAAAACTTTATTCAATGGTTTATAATTTATAACCATCCTAGGTTCTCCTCTTTCAATTTCAGAAGCATTCTGCACATAAAATGCAGCACAACTCCAAGGAGATTTACTCGATCTAATTAACTTTTTATCCAAAAATTGTTTAATTTCTTTTCTACAATATTCAAGAGTTTCTTTATTTAGTTGTACTGGTTTTGCTTTAGTTGGAATATCTTTTTCAGTAAATCCTTCTTCATATGGTAATTCTATTTCAAATGAATTACGATCCCAAAAGGCATTGGGAACATCTGAACATATTTCTTGTATAATTTCATTTTCAATATTTTTAAATTGTTGTATAACTTGAGGATATTTTAATCTTTCTTCTATTTGTTTATGTTTTATTTCATTTTTTAAAAATTTTATTTGATTTGTTTTTGCTGTTATTCTTGTTAAGAAATTGTCTTCATTAATATCTTTCAAATTATGTATTTCTTTAATAATTTTTGGTTTTATAAATTCAAATATTATTTCTTTAAACTGTATTCCTTCTGAAGTTACAGTAAATGGATATATTTGTGTCAAAAAGGGTGTTCCTAATATCATGTCTTCATTTATATCAGGGGTTAATACAAAAGCATTTTTAAAACATGTTCCTTTATTACAAATATAGGCATTTGAAAGTTTATATTTTACTTTTAATCTATTAGAGTTAGCGGCTCTTAATATTTGAATAGTTTTTTCATAATATTGGGTAGGTATTAATCATTCCCTTATACAATTTAAATCTGCTCCTGAATCTACTAAAGCAGTAAAGGTTTTATGAAAAGTTTTCCCTATTTTTAAGGTAGCTTTTATTAACCATTTTTGTTGTATAACTTTTATTTGTTGGATTACAACATTTTCTTCTTTATAAGAAGTAGAGGGTTGATATTCTTTTTCTATTATAGCTTTTATTAATTCATCTTTTTGCAGGTTTTCTTCGCTTATTTGATTTATTTGTTTTTTTATTATCCTAATTTCTTCTTTTAAGGTGTTGATTTCCCTTTGTAAATCTTTTATGTCAACAGGTTTTTCTTTTATAGAAGCCTTCTTTAGTATTTGTGAAAAATCGTATCCATTAAATTCAGAGGTGGATGCTGATTCTTCTTGCTTTTTATCTTCTAGGATTAAATCTTTTAATTTAACTAGATATGCTAGTTTATCTTCTTCATTTGGGATTTTATCTATCATTTCTAGCATCAATTTAGATTCTGCATTTATTACATTTATTTTAAATGAGCAAGCACAAGGTTCTTCATCACACTCACACTCACTTTCCTCTTCACTTGTGGTTTCTAAATTTTCTATAAACTCTTCATTATTACTATTTTCATCTTCGCTGTCAGATTCATATAATAATAATTTAGATATCTGATCTTTTAATTCTTCAGACATATTTAAAGTTTTTATTTTTTCTTTTACTCTAGAATTTTTTTCATGTGACCATAACGACCACACTTAAAACAAACTATTCCTTTATTAGTGTTTTGATATTTTTGTTTATTATAACTTTTCTTATTATTTTTAGAAAAGGTTTTCTTTCTATAAGGCATTGTATTATTTTTTCTAAAATTCTTATTTCTTTTAAAAGGTTTTTTAAAATTTTGTTTATTTTTTCTAATAGACACTGGTTCCGTAGAAATAGTCCCGGTCACTGATCTGAAAAATCCTTCCATAGTTAATTATTCCAAATTGAAAATAATTAAAGTGTTATCTTACCATGACTGGAAGCAACATCCTTTCACTGAAAAAACCTTCTCAAGACCCTTTGACCCTCCATCATATACTTATTTTGATTATCAATCTGCTTGGACTTATATACTCTTGGAAGAAAATCCAAAACATTCCTGGTATATAAGTTTTAAAAATGAATTACCCTCACCCCTTCCAAATTGGTTTGTGGACTGGTTTTTCTCAATTGGCCCAGTTCAGTCCATTATTCCTGAAAATGTCCTGAATATCTATAGAAAATATAAAATCCTGACCCCCAACTTTCCCCAGCATATTTGATTAATAAAATTCTGTTCTACCATGGGCATTAGTTGGTTAGTGGCCCATATTCTTGAAATACATCAGCATCGAGAAGAATCTTATCCGAAGACAATCTGCAGAAAAACTAAAGTTTTTTGGTGGAAGAAGTTTGACATAAAATATGTAGAAGATAAATTTCAAAAATGGAAAACTTTGGGCTATCGTTCAGAGGCCCAATCCTCTCAAAAAATTGAAAATATATCCAAAAAATCTATTTTGGATTTGAATAAGGCTCCCGCTACCAAAGAAGACAAGGCTTTACTGAAAAAGCAATTGTTAGAAGCTTTGTCCTCTTTGGGATCAGAATCTGAAGATGAAGAAAACACTCCTGAAGATTGTTACGCAATGCAAATGGCCCAATCTCCTGAAGATGAAGAAGTCGATTTTGCAAGTTTGTAGCAACCAATTGAAAAGGTAGCTCAGATTGTGCAAAATATAAAAAAGGCCGTTGCTCAAAAAGCCCAACAACATGAAGAAATACAAAAAACCTTCTTGAAAAATTTAGCAGAAGATAAGGAAGACCTCTTCTGAAGACTAAGGCATTTGAGTAAGAAGTCGTGGGTCCCTTGTCCCCCACGTCGCCCAATACAAATAGCAATAAAACCCTTATTTGGATTAGGCATGGACACGCCTATGTTTGTAGCATTAAGAGATAATAGGCCAACTGAACTTGAAAATCAAATTTTAGCCATGTTTAAAACAAATTTACATCAAGGACCAGTATATATTAATAATTATCCAAACTATTTTGTAGCCCTTAAAAGTTTTCTTAATACTGACAACAATTTAATATTGGATGTTAAAATACTTGAAAATAAATGGAATAAAAATTCATATCCAGTAGCCGTAATATATAGAATATATTATAAAGTAATGAAGACCCATTTAGCTCCTAAAGCGTTATTAATGTCCCCCAAAGATGAAACTACCATGCTTTTAATAAACCCTGAAAAAATAAGTGCAGTAGTTCCTAAAACTTTAAAGCATAATGAAATAACCATGGGATTAAAATGGAAAATAGAAGATGTTCTAAAATCAGACCCTCCAGAACCAGTAGAGGTAGAAGAAATAATTGAATATAAATCAGGAACAGTAGAAGTTTCTTTTACCCCTTTAAGAAGAATAAATTCTTTAAGAATAGGAGAAAGTTCTCAATTATCTTCCAATACTTTTCATATAGCACGAAGATCCCTAGATAGACCTAGTTTTAAATATCATAAAACTATGAACTTAAAAGGAATAAAACCCGATCATACGGTACCTACCCCCGAATATGAATGGGAAGAACCTAAAACTCATAATTCACCCTCAAATACAGAATTAGCAGAAGAAGGCCATATAGATCCATCCATAAATATAATTAAAAAATTTGAAATAAATAAAGAATCATTAAAACAAGAATTTCTAGCCGAAGAAAATAAAGAAAAAAAATGGTTTTTTTGATACCTTTACGCAAGAAGAATTAAAAATTTTTAGAGAAAAATATTATGACTATTTAGATGAAATTCAAGAAAATATTCATTATTTTAAATGGTTTGAAGAAAATTGTCTTAAAAATTTAACAATAAATGTTTTAAAAAACGTTAATAAAATATGGAAAACAAAATCAGGAGAAAAAATAGGAGAAATACCTCCATTAGAAGAAGTAAGATTTCCAAATATTGAAAATAAAGAAGTAGTACCTTCACCTTTTAAAATGATAGGAAGAAGAAATTTAGAAGAAAATCTAGCAATTTTAGATATACAAAATGTTCATAGTCAGTTAAATTATACAAATCAATTATTACATCAAGTAGCAATAAAAATCTATGAAGATAAATCTGAAATAAAAAATGAAAATCCATTAGGAATAAAACCTTTGGAAATATCATTAATAACCCCTACTAGATTTACTGATAAAGAATATAAAGAATTTAAATTAGGAAATAATACTGAAAATCTTTGAACAGAAATTAATAAAAAATTAGAAAAGTTAAATATAAAAAACATTAATATATTAGACATTCCTGAAGAAGAAATAGGAAGTATAAATTTAGAAGATTTGGACAATAATATATTTAAAATACAAAGAAAATTTAATCAAAATCCAAATACACATAATATGCCTACCACTAGAAATTATTATAGAAGACCTACACTTCTAGACATACAATTTGAAGAATGGAACCTAGAAAGTCCTTCCACCTTCACTGGTGAAGGAATAATTGAATGGAATATAGATGGATTAACTGAACATCAAATATTGAGAAAAACCCATGAAATGTCTATGGCTGCCTCTGCTTATAGAGCGAAGCATAGTGAGGCCCAAACAGTAAAACTATTAATAGCTGGATTTACCAGATCCCTAAAAGGATGGTGGGATAATTATCTCAATCAAGAACAAATAAATTATATTTTAAATATAGTAAAAATTGAAGAAGGAGTAACTACTCCACTAATGGTAGAAACTTTAATAATATCAATCATCCAAAGTTTTATGGGAGATTCGAATATCTTTGATAATAAGACAAATACCCTTTTACATAACCTAAGATGTCCAACGTTAGGAGATTTTAGATGGTATGTAGATAATTTCATAATGATGGTAATGACTAGAGCAGACTATAAAGAAAACTTTTGGAAAGAGAAATTTATTGCGGGATTACCCCCAGTCTTTGCTACAAAAGTTAGAGAAAAATTAAGCCAAACATATAATGAAAACTTACAAGAATTAACATATGGAAGAATAATTGCAGTAATAAAAAATACTGCTTTAGAGATTTGTAATAATATGAAGTTAGAAAAACAAATTAAAAGACAAAAAGAGAGTGGAATAAAAGAATTAGGAAATTTCTGTGCTCAATATGGGTACGAAGGAATAACACCCCCATCCAGAAAATACCAAAAGAATATTAGAAAACCTTTTAAAAGGAATCAATCTTTTAGAAAAAATAATGTGCCTTTTAAAAAGAATTTTTTTTTAATAATAATAACAAATTTTTAAAAACAAACTTTTCAAAATAAGAACAAAGGAATAATTTGTTTTAAATGTGGCAGATATGGTCATATGAAAAAAGATTGTAGAGTTAAAGAAAAAATAAAAAATTTAAATTTCTGAAGAATTAAAAGAACAAATTCCAAAAATTCTACTTTATGAGTCAGAAAGTGTAGAAGAAGAAAATACTAGTGAAGAATACATAGAAAATATAGGCACAAGTAGTGAAGAGGAAAGTGATTGTGAATGTGAAGAAAATCCATGTTCATGTTCATTTAGTATAAATGTAATTACATCCGAAACAAAATTAATATTAGAAATGATAGAAAAACTTCCAAATGAAGAAGAAAAACTAGAATATTTAAGTAAATTAAAAGATTTAATATTAGAAGATGCAACTCATGAAGAATTTAATACTCCTGAATTTAGTGGATATGATTTTTCACAAATATTAAAGAAAGCTTCAATAAAAGAAAAACCTGTTAATGTTACCGACTTGCAAAGAGAAATAAATGAATTAAAAGAAGAAATTAATATTATAAAAACCTAACTAATTGAAATAAAACAAATAACTTATCAACAAAATGAACAAATAACCGAAATTCTTGAAAAGAATAAACCTTCTACTTTAGTAATTTCTGAAGAGAATATAGTTATAAGACAAATAAAAATAATACAACAAAAATGGTTAAGAAAAGCTACCTTAAAAAATGGAAAAACTTATATTTATAGATCAACATATAAAACATTTGCGAATATTTAAAAATTTAGTTAAGAACAATGGAATGGTAATATCTCAGAAGAAAATAAAATTGGCTCAAACTAATATAAGATTTTTGGGTCATGATATATACCAAGGAACAATTATCCCTATAAAAAGAAGTATAGAATTCTCTAAAAAATTTCCAAATGAAATAAAAGATAAAAACCAGTTACAAAGATTCTTAGGGTGTGTTAACTATGTAGCCGACTTTATCCCTAAGATTAGAATTTTGTGTAAACCCCTGTACAATAGACTAAGAAAAAATCCGAAACCTTGGATCCCAGAACTAACCAAAATAGTTGAAGAAGTAAAGGCCCAAGTAAAGACATTACCCTGTTTAGGAATACCAAATCCAGAGGCCCAATTAATAGTAGAAATTGATGTCTCAGACCAAGGATATGGGGGAATTCTTAAGCAAAAACTAGAAACCCATCCTGAACAAATTGTAAGATATCATTCAGGTATATGGAACCCAGCCCAATCTAAATATAGCACTATTAAAAAAGAAATCTTGAGTATTGTTTTATGCATGCAAAAGTTTCAACATGATTTAATAAATAAAAAATTTCTTTTAAGAATAGATTGCAAATCTGCCAAAGAAGTTTTAGAAAAAGATGTTAAAAATTTGGTTTCAAAATAGATTTTTGCTCGTTGGCAAAGTTTAATATCCTGTTTTGACTTCGAAATTGAATTTATAAAAGGAAAGAATAATTCAATACCCGATTTTTTAACAAGAGAATTTTTGCAGGGATTCTCCCATGACCACCCCACAAAAGAAAATGGGCTCTCAGCCCAATCCTCCTGAAAAATCTGGGCCATCTAGCCTCTCGCTAGATGACTTTTCCCCATCATATTTAAAAGCCTCACAAACTCGAAAATTTCCCAACACCTTAAAAAACCCCCTTGAAAATAAATTTACTGTTTTAGCCCATATGCCAAATACTCCTGAAAAGGCTACCTCCTCAACTTCAAAGCATATTCCAAAAGAATACCATATACTTAAACATTGTGAACATGTTGTTACTATTGAAGATCATTGGCAGGAAGAAGATCCATGAAAAATAGTTCAAAATCTAGCTCCTCCTCATTGGAGTTGGATCCCGAAAAATGAAAATTTGAAGAAAAATAAAAAGTTTTATCAGTTTATCTTAATAGATACTGGTTCTGTAGAAATTACCCCAGTAGCAGATTTGAAGACCCCTTCCATTATAAACTATTCCAAATTGAAAATTATTAAAGTATTGTCATATCATGACTGGAAACAGCACCCTTTTACTGAAAAGAACTTTTCTAGACCTTTTGACCCCCCTCATATTCCTTCTTTGATTACCAAAAAGCCTGGAATAATATCCTTTTAGAAGAAAACCCAAAACACTCTTGGTATATTAGCTTTAAAAATGAATTACCTCTTCCTATACCAAATTGGTTTGTAGATTGGTTCTTTAAAATAAGCCCTGTCCAATCTATAATTCCCGAAAATATATCTATCAAAAATATAAAATTCTTACCCCTAATCAATCCCCTCACTTAAGGCTTATAAAATTTTGTTCTACTATGGGAATAAGCTGGCTCATGGCACATCTTCTTGAAATACATCAGCACAAAGAAGAAACTTATCCGAAAACTATCTGTCGAAAAACTAAAGTTTTTTGGTGGAAAAAGTTCGAGGTGAAATATATTGAAGAAAGGTTTCAAAAATGGAAGACTTTGGGCCTTCAATCATCAACAAAGGCCCAACCCCAATAGAAGATTGAAACTCCATTAACCCGCGAAATATTAGACAAAGTACCAACGTCCAAAGAAGAGAAAGCCCTATTGAAGAAAAAATTATTAGATGCCTTATCTTCTCTTGGATCGGAATCCGATGAAGAACAAGAAAATGTTGAAGATTGTTTTGCTATTCAGATGGCCCAAAACCCTGAAGATGAAGATGAAATTGATTTTGTTAATTTGTAGCAATCACCTGAAAAGATTGTG